ATGTCAAAGCACTTGATTTAAAATGCTTGTTACAAGTGCAGGGGTAGAGGGAATATAATAACAATATTCCTTGCATTTGATATAGTGTCTTATGTCGTTGAGACGTCTCAAAACGCTTTACAGAATATACTGAATACAAAGTGAATTGACTGTGTATTTTGTGGGCGAATATATTTTGCAAGCAGATTTGATTTGAATCATTCCTAAAACACAGGTAATTGGTGAAAATTTTGCAAGAAGCACTTTAAATGGTTATATTTGGGAAACTCTGGAAATGATTTGAAGTTGTGANTTTTTTTTACATTTTGCTAAGCCAATTAGGCAAAGTTTAAAAAGCACATTTGAGAATAAAGTCTGATTCTTTTAGTTAGACACCAGTTGTGTTACTAATCCCATTGTATATGCTACACGACATTCTGTGGTGTATATTAACATAATAACTTACACAAGTCATTGGGGAGAAAAATGCCTCAAGGCCACCTTTTCCTTCTCTGAAAATTACCACGCAATAGCAAATTATGCTCTGAAGATAAATGTTTTGGTTCCTGGTTTGGCAGTTAAAGAGGCAAAGTAACATCACTTCTACCTGTAACTTTTTTTATTCCAACTCCTGTATCAAAGACACACTGTAGAATCCACCATCTCTGTGCTCTCTGAATTTCTATGGTCTCTGTTAAATTACAATCCAGTGAAAGACCATCAATTGATTCTGCCCGCGTAATTACAACCTCAGAATTAGAACCGAACTGTGACTTCTCTGTGAGAAAGTACTCAATTCTGTAGTGTTAATATTGTCTGCAAAGGTGCCGAGCTGAGCAAGACATTCGGTGGAACTTGTCCACTCTCAGAGATAGTTTCCAAATGTCCTAAGTTCATCAGTATTAAAAAAAATGCATTAATTCTATTCCCTGTTTTCAATGCCTGTTATTCTCTAGGACAAATCTGAATGCAGGTATGTAGGTTTCTTGTATTTAAAAAAAAAGCCACTCCAGTTTGAGATAAATTCAGTTCACATTTTGATCGCTGAACGTTCTCTGTTCCCATTGTAACAAAGGACAGTTAAAAAAAAACATTGGGCACCAAGCCTGTAAAAGTTTCATCTGCAGAAATGTAATTCTGTAGCACTACCTTTAAGTACTGCTATGATCTCTTCAATGGCGACTTGTAGTATCTGTCTTTAAACCGACTGTTATCTGAATTTGACCCTTTGTTTGGATTGAGCATTGAGGCTTTGTCATTCTGTGACTTGAAATGCCTCATGTAAAACCAAATGTAATACAAAGTAAGCATATACAGGCAAGCAACTGGTTCCCTCTTGTGTTAACTCTAATGCCTTAACTGGCCATTTTTATAACTTAGAAAATCAGTGTTATGAATCATTTTATTTGATGGCCTGAAAGGTATTCAGTCTGCAAGGCATTCATTACACAGAATTCTCATCCAGAACTGAGTGCATTAATGGCGCACCCAGAGCAGTTCATCTAGTGCTGTGCATCACAGTGGTGATGAGATTTTATGAACACTCAATTATGTGCTGGAGAAAGTGATTAAACTGATCTGTGACTGAATTAAGCGTGTATGGATCACAGAGTGACAGTTCTCATATTCGTGGAGCAATAATTGTTGCAAATCTGAAACCTAGTAAACTAGTAGATTGCTCTTAATCCTATATGTCAAACACTGTAGATACCCTTCTTTGCTTTTAAATTATTTTCTTACCAAAAAAATCTTTGTTGCAAACCTGTCAGGGAACACACTAGAGAACCAATATCAGTGTTATATGCTGCTTTTTATAAATAAATACTGAACATATTCTGAGACTTTGTTTGTAAAGAATTACTTGCAAAAAAGTGCAGGACGGTTCACCTAGATTACTGTGCTGGTCTGCAATTTAACGAAGAAACGCATCTATTCCAGACTTCTGCAGCTCATGTCCTTTCCTGCACCGGGCTCCGTGAGCCTATCACCACCATCTCTGTTTGGTTTCTTCTCATCTCCCAGTGGATCTAATCGAAGATCCTTGTTCTCACCTTCAAATCTCTCCATGGTCTCACCCTAACTAATTCCTTGACTTCCTTCAAACCTCCCTTCATGGGCACTACTTTCGTTCAGCAGCCTGCTTTATAATAATAATAATAATAATCCTTGCATTTGATATAGCGCTTTTCACGTCGGGAGGACGTCCCAAAGCGCTTCACAGAACACACTGTAAAGTGAATTGACTATATATTTGTGGGCGAACGCGGCAGCCAATTGCACACAGCAATGTCCCACAAACAGTCGTAGATTGAAAATGACCAATTTATTATTGTTTTTGGTTTTGGAGGGATTATTATTAGGCTCTGTGTGGAGTAAGGAAACTTGCCCAAGGTTTCGCCCTCTGCCTGGAATTGAACTCAGGTCTCTCGCTTGCAAAGCGAGTGCTCTAACCACTGAGCTACAGGACTTATGTCTCTGCCCCACTATTGGCAGGTGGGTCTTACCCCTTCTGCCCCTACTCTCTGGAGCTCCATCCTGTCCCTCTATCCCTCTTATCACCTCATTCATGGTTTGGCTCGAGACGTTGCTCTTTGATCATGCTTTTTATCATCTTTCCTTCCCTACCCTGTTCGGCATCTCTCCCCCCCCCTGCCCCCACAGTTTAGGTGCCCAGCCAGCAGTGTTAAATGCTTTGAGATATCTTCTTGCTATATAAATGTAAATTGTACATTTTCTATTTCCTTTGTTCCCTACTCTTCTCTGTCCGTTTTCTAACCTTGATTCAAAACTGTCAATTAAATATCTAAAAATATCTTCTTCAGAAGACGTAAATGGGGCTGAAGTGCCTTCATTGAGACATATCTGTTTAAACTACAATAGTCCAAGGCAGACTGGAAACAGGGGATATGTATTCAACCCAGCAAGGCAAAGCCATAATAGCTAAGTAAGCTAGCTGCGTATTGGTAAGCCGCAACATGGCTGGACAGGTTTGTTCTGTTCGGTTACAAATTTATTCTTAAATTTCTGTCTGATCCATTTAATCAGAGCCTGGGATCCGAGAAGAATATCTTTAATCAAATTGAAAAATGTATCATGGGCCCGGCTTTTTTTGAGAATTTAAACACATATTTCAGAAACTATTAGAATTCAAATTTCTTCCAATTTACTTCTGTTGTATACAATATAAAGCATTGGGAACTGAATAACATTTTACCCATGGCTGATGGAGAAGAAAATGTTCATATTTTTAAAGTTGGGAAATAAATTGTGCTGGGAATTATTAGGGTTTGAAATACTAGCATTATCAATGTATTACAAATATTGTTGATGATTGGCAATTTGTGAAGCTCATCAATAGGACTTGCAGTGATTTGTATGTCACTTGGGAGTGGGGTGAGATTGTTCTCCTAATAACCCTGCAAAACAATGAATTAAGTTTCTGAAATGGCCAAGTTGTTCTGAGCTGGGCAGGGGGCGGAATCCTACCAGTTTTGATTTGTAATTGTGTACATAACTGCCTCAATTCCCCGATGCACACCTGATGTATTAGCTTCAAGCAACCCACATGTATATGCATCTATCACAAGTAGGTAAATTTGGGGTGTGGGGTGGGGGTAAAGGAGGGAGATTGTGTCATCTCTCACATTACATTCTGGAAATGACAAACAGAAACTCTGCTTCTGTAAGTTCTCAGCAGACAAAATTGTAGATTTATGCATGGCAAAGGGTTTCGACACGTGTCAGATTCTCGGCTGACAAAAGCGCGTGACAACATGACTATGTTTCTGACGTGGAAAATAGCCTTACATCACATCAACCAGATAGTTTCAGATTCAGATTCTAGCCACTGAGTTTCCATTTACACAGATAGAGGATCGAAAACCAAACTGCCTACAGGTGTGTAGGCTGTTGATCCTGCTCCATATCCGGATGTCCAAAAAGGCTCTTCAATGTCGCATCTAACTTTCATCTCAATTCATCATTCTGCAGATTTTCTATTCTCATCCACACACAGGCTTTTGAGCGTCATATGTCCTCTTTGGATGAACGCAAGTTTCTTTATTTTTAAGCAGTAATAACAAGGCTTCAGATTTGCTGTTCATCTCCCACAGGGATATTTAAGTCAGCTATGCCACTTTTGAAAGGCGAATCTTAAAATTCATCTCCTTTATGTATTCCCTGACTATGTGTTATTCTTTCAGCTTTATAGCCACTCTGCCAGTGTAACCACTTCCTAATTTATAGTTTTATTGAAAGAGATATGTTGAGAGAAACACAGGGATATGTGTATATCTCTCCAAACATTGTAACCATGGTCAACTCATATTGCAAAAGACAGTCACTTCTGAATAGTTGAAAGGCAGGGAGGGCACCGTCCACAGTGCGAGATATTTTTAAAGTGGTGAGCCTAATTCTGCAGTTGGGTAAAGAGGTAACAACAACAAAATTACATTTATAGAGTGCCTTTCACATCGGGAGGACATCCCAAAGCCATGAACAGTCGGGTCGGGACCCGAGCATGGGGGCGGGGGGGTGTAGGGGTGAGGGAAGGCAAAGAGGTGAGAGGACGACCTAAAGCACGATTGAAGAGAAGGGTCTTGAGACCAGCCTTGAAGGAGGCAAGGGAGGAAGCGAGGCGAAGGGACCATAGGATGGAGTTCCAGAGTGTGGGGGCAGAGAGGCTGAAAGCCCGGCCACCGATGGTAGGGCAGATCGGGCAGGAGACATGTAGCAGACCGGAGCCCGCTGAAAGGAGGGAGCGGGCAAATTGGTAGGGAGTCAGAGAGATAGGAGGGGGCAAGGTCATGGATGGCCTTGAAAGTGAGGACGAGGATCTTGAATTTGATCCTCTGAGGGATGGGGAGCCAGTGGAGAGGGGCGAGAGTGGGAGTGATGGTGTCACGGAGCCTGGTGAGCGAGAGTACAGGTAAAGATTCAGTTCCTATGCCTTTGTGTGAAAAAAGACGGGAATTATGATGGCAAGCAATACGTCTTAAAGACTTTTTGTTTTGGTATTTTAGGAGCGTGAAGAGGAACCCATCGCTTATTTGGATCAGAGTGAAGGCGAGGAAGAATTTGACCCTAGAGATCTTCCTGATCCTGATAAATACCGAGCTTCAGAGGAAACCGATGACAACAACATTTCTGATGCTGAAGAAAATGGCAGGTTAGTTTACCAAGAATTGTTTTTGACCCTTATCTTTTCATTTCACACCAGGAATCGATCAACCCTCATGGTAAGCAACTCGACTACCTTGAAAACATTTCTAACATGCTGATAATGGGTTAGATCACCAGCATTTTGAAACTGAGAAGACACCACAGCCCATTTAATTGGGCTCTCCCTTAGACTCACTGAACCTGTGCGCAAGTTAGGCATCCGGTTCGATCCCCAGCTTTCCTTTCTACCCCAGATCTCTGACCAGAACCGCTTTTTTCCATCACATTGCCATCTCTGTCCCTACCTCACAACCAACTGCAAGAGGTATGTTCAGGGCAAAACCTTAGGCAAGTTGCCTTATTCCACATGCCTCTGTTTACCTAGAAGTAAGTGAGGACCCTGTAGTTATCCGATTGGCGGATCGCTTTTCCGTGGATAATAATCCCTCCAAAAACAATTAATTAATTAAAAAATAAAACATTTTTGGTCACTCAATCCACGACTATTTGTAGGACACTGCTGTGAGCCCTTGATACCCTCACATCTCCCTACCTATCCGACCTGCTTAACCCCCACTCCACCACCCGCTGCCTCCACTCGGCTGGCTCCAGCCTCCTGTTTGTCCCTCATCCCCTCCACTCCATCAGTGGCTGTGCTTTCAGCCACTATGCCGTGAATCTCTGGAACTCTCACTCAATCCGTCCGCCTTGCCCCCTCCCTCCCTCCCTCCCTACTTTATATACCGCTTAAAGACCTTCCTTTTCGAGCGTGCTTATGGTCACGTCACCTCCTCCCTCCCTCTCCCCCTGGCTCGACGTCAGACAATGTCAAATGCTCCGTAGCGCTACCTCGTGTGAAGGGCGCTTTATAAATGTACGTTGTTGTTAATTTCAGGAGAAATAGAACATTTCCTACTTTATACTTTTGTCTGTTATTCATAGTTGTCTTTAGCTTCCCAATGACTCAGGAGGCTAGGTTGCAAACAAAATGAAAAATGACTAGCAACCTGGGGCCAAATTTAAAATGTCGTTGTACTTGTTATTCTACGAAATGGAATATATCGAATTATAAATTACAGTATTCATGGTGTATGCTGTAAGTGACTGTGTTACAGACACTGAGGGATGTCTGTGATAACTGTTAAGCACAATGAATGGATACGTTTGCAGCTTCAACAAAGGTGGGAGTTTTTGAGAGAGTGGAGGGAGTGTCTTTCTAAACGGAAATTGTAATTCAGGAACATAAGGTGGACTTGATTTAGCTGTAGTGAATAATATGTTCTTTGACTGAAAGTAAAAGGCAAACCCATTTTGCTTCTGCCTTGGATTGGTAAATGCTCCTTTGATTTATTACTCTGACTTTGCATTAGAAATGCTTGTCTTCCCAGCAAGGTTATAATTGAAAGCAGTAGCTTCAGGGTACTTCTTGCCTGCTCCTTTTTTCTTTGTTTCCTCTTTTGTAATTTGCCAGTATTGTTTTTTGATTGTCGAAATATATATTTCCAAACACAACCCTGCAGGCGGTCAGCTACTAATAAAGTATAGTTAGAATATCAGAAACCTTAAAATAAAAGGGGAATGTCAGTAAACACTGCCTCACAATATTGTTATCCTTCATGTCCTAAGAGGTTTCTTGTCACTGTTCTTTTGAAGGTGTGCTTAGCTTGCACTGCAGAAAGCTCGTCTGCTGCTTGTGTAAGTACACACTGACATTAATTACAGCTTGATAATTGCAAAGCTCCTTGCTTCATAGCATTTGGGATGAATTGCTGATGTAATAATTGAATGTGTTTTTCTCAAGCTGTGAAAGCATTTTTTTCATTTTTTTTAATGAAATACTTTATTGATATTTAAGCATTTTTTTTCTCCTCGATTTAGATGGATTAGTCCATAAATTGCTTGGAGCCTGTAATGTTAATCTGCAAGTATACACGTAGCAGATGCTGCTTTCAGGTTGAACCATGTTGAAAAAAGAATTGGAAAATTAAAAAAATCTGTTTCAATTAGAATTCCTTTGCATATTTACAGAGGATCTAAAACAATCTGTAAAATCATACAGAGAAACAAAATAATAACTTACAAACTCTGAATTATCAACATTCAGTGTCCTCATAACGTTGGTGTCTAAACTTTTGTTTTTTTGTTTAATTGTTTTTCCTGCAAGAATATAAACCCCTTCTCTTCTTGGGACATTTTATAAAGACGCAAAGAGATGAAGGAAGAAAGGAAATACAACAACAACTTGAATTTATACAGCACCAGCCCCAGAGCGCTTAAAGAGAGATTGGTGGCATATTCAAGTGTGACTGCAGTAGAGGATAAAGACAAGGCAATTTTAAATAAATATTTTGCTTCAGTCTTCAGTTGGAAAAGGAGGTTGAGGTACCAGAGGTTTCAAGAAGAAAAGAATCTTAAAAAGTTAATTATAGACCGAAAAATAGTAATGAATTAATTAATTAGGGAGTCTGAAGCCAGACAAATCTCTAAGCTCACACAGTTTCCACCCCAGAGTACTAAACAAAATAAGGGAAGAATCTGTAGAGGCTTTACATAGAATTAAATAGACTAATAGACATAAAAACAAACCATTCAGCCCAACTACTGTTGCAATTATTTTCCAAAGTTCAATGGTTCCGGGAATTATGCTGGAGGATTGGAAAGCAGTAAATGTAATGCCATTATTTAAGAAGGGAAGGAAGAGAGAAAGTAAGCTTCAATAGTCTGTGAGTTCAAGATCAGTAGTGGGCAAATTACTAGAATCTATCATCCAGGGACAGAATAAATGAGCATCTAGATAAATATGCACAGATCAGGGAGACTCAACATAGGATTGTGAAAAGTTGATCGTGTCTCACAAATCTAAGTCCTCTGACGGAACCACCAAGATTATGGATAAAGGGAGATCAGAAAGCATTTAATAATAATAATAATAATAATCCTTGCATTTGATATAGCGCTTTTCACGTCGGGAGGACATCCCAAAGCGCTTCACAGAACACACTGTAAAGTGAATTGACTGTATATTTGTGGGTGAACGCGGCAGCCAATTGCGCACAGCTATGTCCCACAAACAGTCGTAGATTGAAAATGACCAATTTATTATTGTTTTTTGGTTTTGGAGGGATTATTATTAGGCGTGTGGAGTACGGAAACTTGCCCAAGGTTTCACCCTGCCTGGAATTGAACTCAGGTCTCTCGCTTGCAAAGCGAGTGCTCTAACCACTGAGCTACAGGACTCCACATTGATAGAGTAACTCATGAAACACTATTAGCTAAAATTAAGACAGATAGAATTAAAGCCAAAACTGTGTGATGGATAGGGAATTTGTTGGGAGAGAGGAGATTTTCTCTGATTGGTGAGCAGTTACAAGTGAATTGGTGCTGGGGTTCTCGCTTTTCACCCTGCATATCAATGACCTGAATATAGCCTTAAAATCAGAGCCCGGCCATTTACAGCTGAGGACAGGAAACATTTCTTCTTCAGAGAGTGGTGAAAATGTGAATATTCTACCACCAAAAGCTGCAGAAGCAGTTTTAATTTAGGATGTTTGAAAGAGAGGCAGAGAGTTTGATAATAGAGTTGTAATTGGGTATGGAAAAAGGACATGAATTGGAATTAAAAGATCTGCCAAACAATAACAAATTACATTTTTATATGAACTCTCTGCCTCCTCTCTCCCAACCAATTCTCTATCCATCACACATGTCGGACCAGAGTGGAGGCCAGGGAGGGTGGGGGTAGGAGGGTGATCGAAGGTGCGTTTGAAGAGCAGGGTCTTGAGACGGTCCTTGAAGGAAGCAGGGAAGGGAGCGAATCAAAGGGACTGTGGAATACAGTTCCAAAGGGTGGGGGCAGAGAAGCTGAAGGCCCAACCACCGATGGTGGGGTAGGCTGGGCGGGGTACATGAAGCATGCTGGAGCCCGCTGAACAGTGGGAGTGGACATGTTGCTATAGATTTGGCAAGTCACAGAGGTAGGGAGGAGCAAGGCAGTGCCAAAATCTACTAAGCTGGTGAAACAGACGCCATGGCCTGACTGGCTTCCTGCAGTTCCTATTTTCCTAAACCTGGAGGCCCGACCTCTAGAAAAAGAGGTGGTTTACTAGTTCTGCAGCATATGCCTGTTCCACTCTGACTGAGCTTCCAGTCTCTGCTACTGTTATTTAGCGGTTTAGTCGGTTTGGAAAAATGGCAAACATTTTGCACATATACATTATACATGTGCACAAAACAAACCTCAGAAAGCCATGGGATTTTGAGGTGAAAAGACCAGGACTGCACAATCAGTTATATTGGTGTCATTGCTTCCACTTGATCCACTCTCATTGTGTAGCAAGAGGCCTGATTGAAAACCAGCTTAAAACTCTTAGTGTCGAATATTCTGGGACTGAAGCTCAATGATATTCATATGGTTGTGCAATTTGGATGTCAACAGTGACATGGCAGATGGAACAAGAAGAACCTTTGCCCCAACTTTGCTTCAAAGTTTAGTTTTCCAATAAATGGTGGTGCTTGATGGTGTATTGAGGATGTTCAGTACTCAGTATCTTGCTCTCTTGCATTCTAGTAATACATTTCTACTGAATAAACACATTTTTAAGTCAAGAGCAGGTGGAAGGTACAGAGAGCAGTTCATGAAGTTGTTGTTTATCCAACAAGGACCTCTGGGAAGAATGGAAAAATTACATCAAGATTTAGAACCCATCCACCCCTGAAACTTTTTATTAATGCTTGCAAACAGATTGACGGTTACATCATGGTTAATTAATCACTTGAGTTTTTGTAGGATATTGTTCTTATAAGGTCAGTTACCATTATGATAGAAGGTTTTTGTGACTTGTTCTGTCTGTGCTACTTAATGACCCAGTTGATTGTCATGGAAATTGTAGTTTATACCATATTCAAAGTGGGAGATGCATTACAAGCATATGAAAGCCATTTAGTCTAGTGCCTGTAGAAGTGGGAGTATCCCCCTGAAACTGGGAACATTGCCATGGAATGCCAAGC